TCGCCCCGCTCCGCCCCGCCCCCCGGCACTAGGCGTCCACACGAGACAGCAGCGTCCTTCCTGCTCCGCACCAGCCCCCCCCGCCAGGCAGAAGGATGCTTAGAGCCAGGGGCCTGCCCCCACTGTCCAAAATTAAGCATCTAAGGGATCCTGGATGACTCTCTTGCCCTCAACAGCCCTAAGGGCAGCCCTGCTTACGCTGGGCCGGGCGCTTGCTTGGTGCAGATGCCCTCAGGGCTGGCTCTTCACTGCGCTGCAAAACCCTTACTTACAGACAAAACCGTGGCTGGACCCAGCGTGCTCCCACCCAGTGTTCGAGGACATGACAGCTGCTGCCAAAAGGCCGCGGCATTGAAAGACAGCTCCCCAGAGGGAGGAGGTGCCCGAGCCGTGGTAGGGGTACCCACCGGTTCCGGAGCCGTGGTACTGGTACCACCAGTGGCGCACAGATACCCTGCTGGTGGTATGCATTAACAGATTAATTATAACGACTTTCCCTGACAAAAATTTGCTGGCGGGACTGAAGGGTTGTGTCATCTTAAGTCGGAAGTGCGCAACGCATCAGAGTTTGGGAACCGCTGCCTTAGCATACGCCGCATACAGTCCCACCACCCCCCGGCTGTCAAGCAAGAGGACAGGCCCTAAACCACAGGTTTTCTGAAAACTGGACATTGTGCCCAAACAAGTCTCGGACACCGATTCCACGTATCAAATCAAGCAAAGTTTATTTGGCGCGGGTTTGAAAACGAAGAGAACCGCCACAGGAAAATCTAAAGCAGAATCAAGCCAAACCAGAACAAGTACAGTTAGGATCCAGCCTCAGTTACAACCTAATAATAAAAGCAAGAGAAAAAAAAAAACATCTCCGAAAGTGTCTCTGTCTTTGCCTGTTTCTGGATGCTGGCACCGAAATTGCTGCTTCGCGGCACTGCGTGCTTCACTGATGTGCTGTACCTTTCATCTGTTGACTCGGATGTCACATACAATTACAGATGTGTTTCTCGGTTACAATGGATTTGATTACATTAATTAACCCCTTTTGATTTCCTTGTCTACTGCCTGCATTTCAACTGCTGTTTGAATTTCAAAAAACGTGAGGAGCCTATTTAAGGCGGTTAACTTGAATACATAAAGGTGGCACATCAAATAATTAATACTTTGATCTGTTTCAAAGGTAATGGGAGCAAGCAAACCTCTTCTAAAGGGGAAGTAATTGCTGTCTGGGGTACCTCTACCCCAGAATAAATGTCACAAAACATACAAAGCACAGACCAGATACAATGTCTTTACAGCTACCCATTGTACTGGCCACTGGAAATACCCACTGCTGCTGCCTGATTTAATGATGAAAAAATGGGTTGGAAATGTGTAAATCAGAGTTTTTATTCTACTCATACAACCTCTGTGAAGCCTTAGATTAAAGGAGGGGAATCCACAAGGTAGTCCCATTAACTCCACTTCATCTTGACCAGACTGGACAAAGCCCTTGAGAATATATGGTAGATTAAGAAATTCTGCTTAAAAATCCCAATTCAGTCATGTCTTTTACAGATCTAGGTTGAAAAATTCTGCAACTTGCCCCCAAACCTCTGTCATGGCCAGGGATCAATACTGAAATGTCACTGTTTGCTAAGCAATGCCTGAATGAGTATTTACTCCAACTGGGACCCACTCTCTGTCTCTCGAACACAGATACTCTTAGCAATGTGTTTGCACAATTTCTTTAGCGCTTTTTAAGAACAAGCAAAAGGATGCCCTCTGCAGCGGGTTTGTGCGGTGGCAATTTAGGTCACAAAAAAATTTGCTGTATGGCATTTATACAGCCATGCTTAAGCTTCTTCAGTTTGCTTAATTTGTTTCTTTGTTTTAGCCCTTTTTCATGACCTACTAACACATGCGTCCTTCTTGTATTACTTCTAATAGTTAGAATTAGTCACAAATAACCTTTACCTATTGGCAAATGCATTTGATACACTAGCAAATATCACTACATGCTACCCAAATATTGTTACGTAATTGTGAAGTCACTTATTTTCAACCACCCAAGTGATGATACAAGAAGAATATTCTGATAATACTGTTAAAATGCTTCAAACAACACAGAAATTCAGCTCAGAAGGCTCTTAACCACTGAATCTCTTTTCGGTCAAATGTACATACAGCTTAAAACACATCAGTAGGAACAAAGTATTTTAGATAGGTTGCTTTGCCATATGGGATCCTGTTAAAAAAAAAAAAAAGGTCATCAGCCACAGACCATCAGACTACGTTTCTCAAGTACTTTTGTGTAATTGGCCACATTACTTTAGCATCAGTCCATTTTTGGTACTTTATTTTTAAGCTCTGCCTTTATGTTTAATATTTATTCAACATCAATATGAACTAAAAATGTGACTTGATTTAAATGTTAAATCACAGCAAAATATTAGGTTTAAATGGCAATTCAGGTGGAAAAAAAAATGTCTCAACGTACACAGGCAGCGTCTGTCTTTCAAGCTCTCAGAACAATATAAAAGAAAAAACAACAACTCCAGAGCTACCGGGTAACAAAAAGATAATACTGATTCACCACGCGTATCAAGTACACCGAGTTAATTCATCCGTACTGAATAAGGCCGCTTGATTTCCAAACAGACAACTTGACTCTCTATTTTGACAGGAATCATGTAACATCACACCACTTACAATTTCAAGCATAATTTTCCACAAAAACCTCATGCCAGATAGTTTCACACTTACTTCATTCTGATTTTGAAAGGGGAGTGTGAAGGGGTCTAACCTGTTTTTCCTACCGTTTTGGCAGGTCACTAGATGCGATGCATCAGGATGCTAGAACAGATTTTTCAAATAAATCGTCACAGCTGGCTGGTTAGTGTGAGGTAGTAAATCCCTATCCTGTGTTTGATCATCAGTCTATGATGGAGCTGACTGGTACCATAAGAACATTAATTAATGAATGCAGACAACATGAGGCAATGTGATTCTTTAATGGAGGAATACGGTGGTAAAGGAAAAATATGGATGATGAACTAAAAATGGGAAGGGGGAGAAACCGAAGTGACCTCAAGCTTTATTATAGAGTACTACTTCTTATACACACACACACACACATACATATGTACACATACACACCATGCAGTTGGGAAATAGTCATCAGTGAACAACAGCTTGGCAAGTAGTGACCTAAACAACCATACAAACAAGAACCTTGTCAGCATAGCTGTCCTAACAGCTCCCCTCTGGAATAGTATAAATACAATGTGTCATGGGCAGCTTGATGCATTTCATTTTCATTCATTAAGGATAACCAGGTACAATCCACTTAAGGTTTTCATATAAACTTTCCCAGAGTTTGCTCTAAAGTATGAAAATAAAACGCGTGCATTTTATGGCTATAAAATACACAGCTGCCTGTCAACTACACACACACATGCATGCACACACAGTGCACACCCACCCACTAGCAAAATATCAGAGATCATCAATATTACATTTTGTATACAACCTACATGTAATTATTTCAGTAAATGAGAAACTCCCTTTTATGGCAATGCTGCAGGGAAAAATCAATACAGAATACTTTGTTGTACAAAACTGCATTTATACAAGAACAACCAACAGTGGAATATAACCCCCTTCACAACGCTACATCTCTACAAGGAGAAAGAATAATCAAATCTTTATACAATTGTAAAAAAAAAAAAAACAACCAAACTTGTAAGCTGCTCTGCAACCTTTCTTCGCTAAAAGTTAGATACATTACACCATCCTAGCAGCAGATTAATAAATAAGGATTAAATAGTCTATTTTACAAAGCCATACAGAATGGCAGGTTTAAAAACTAAAAGCTTTGCTGATACCCTCACTTCCTACATGAATCCTCTTTATTAAGAATAAGACTTGGTATAAAAGGGGAAACAGCCAGCGCTATGTATCTACAGAAAAAAAAGACAATCCAAAGGAAGTAAAATATTTAACATTTTATGGCACCTATATCGCATACATTATTTCTTAATGGCTGTGTTTCTTTATGTCTAAGGAGTGAAAGACTATTTAACTCAGAGGTTTTATTAAGCAAACTTGATATAACCAACCACACAGTGGCAAGAGACGGAACCAGCTGTTTCCAGCTGCAAAAACATATCAACATCTACCCTACGCACCAGATCATTAAGGTATCGAGAAAAAAAAAAAAAAAGGGAATAGCAAGTCCTAGTCCAGCTTGTATCGAGTTTCCTTAACGGTTCCTCTTTTCCTTATGTGTTGTATTCATTCACTTGTTTTTTGCGTTGGGTTACTGTTGCTTAGTAACTATTTTCATGTCCAGCCAAGATGTAGAGATTGCTGTGTGCGGTAGGATTTTCTGTTGGCCTGCTTTCTAACACCACAACCCTGCAATTAAAGCACAAACACAACAGACTGGTCAGTGGTAACACAGAAGTCTCATCATATCATTAGCAAGATCAGAGAAGAATCTACTCCACTGCTCACCAACTCATCACAGGGGCAAAGATACGCAACGATACCTTACATGCTAGGATTTTGTTTTTAAAAACAGCCTGATGAAGGGTATTTGTACCCGAAAGCTTGCAAAGAATTTTCCCAACTATCTGAGTTGGTATAATAAAATATATCATATTTACCCAAAGAGCCTTGTCTGCCTATGTCCTTAGACCAACACAGCTACAACTATACCTTATTATTAATACGCTTTGGATCATTAGAGCTAAAGGTTTCAATGCAGCACTCACTAAGAATATAGGACTGGGCAGGACCTACAGGGTAAGCAAGTTCAGTCCCCTGTGGTCCCAGGCGCAGTCTACACTCCCTTTCAAAAAGTGATCAACCTTGTTCTGAAATAGTTGGGTTGCAAGGGGGTTTTTTGGGGGAGAGGTTGGGGTTCTTGCCCTCACTACTCCTGGGGAAAGCTCTCCCAGGACCTCACTACTCAAATGGTTAGAAATTTATTCATGGCCAGTTTATACACATTTGCTCTTGTGAAAACGCTATCCTTTAGCTTAAATCTCTTCTCCCTGCCTGGCATCTACCTCATTCATACATTTTCTAGAGTGGTCATATCCCCACTCAGCCTCTGTTTTTCTGGACTAAGCAAGCCACTGCTCTCATAAAATAGGCTTTCTACTCCCTTGGTCATCCTAGCTGCCCTTCTCTATATCTGTTTCATTTGGGATGCGTCGCTCTAGAACTTGGAGGAACCAGAGCAGCACTCCAAATGAAGTCTCACTAGTGCTTGCCAATAGCATTGATACTTCCCTGTCTCTAGCGGATCTCAGGATCACATTCACCTTTTCCATGGATGCCTCACAGCCTGCAACCAACTAGTACACCCATGTCCTTCTCCTCCTGTTGTTATGAAAGGATCAGCTCCCAGACATAGCTGTTATTAGTCCCCGGTTAAAGCCTGGTACTTTGTGTAAAATTTCATTCCTGCTTTTCCACTCCTCAGTACT